GCCTGGCTAACAAACACTTTTTAGGTCTTAGTGTGTTTGGTCTTTTTGCAGCATTGTTGATCTTCTAGAAGCTCTCCTCTCTTGGTTTCTGTGACCTCACTCTCTCCTGCTTTCCTTCTACCTCTCTAGCCTTTCCATCTCAAGCCCCTTCATGGGCTTCTTTTCTTTCTTTTTTTTTTTTTGGGACGGAGTTTTGCTCTTGTTACCCAGGCTGGAGTGCAATGGCGCGATCTCGGCTCACTGCAACCTCCACCTCCTGGGTTCAGGCAATTCTCCTGCCTCAGCCTCCTGAGTAGCTGGGATTACAGGCACGTGCTACCATGCCCAGCTAATTTTTTGTATTTTTAGTAGAGATGGGGTTTCACCGTGTTGACCAGGATGGTCTCGATCTCTTGACCTCGTGATCCACCCGCCTCGGCCTCCCAAAGTGCTGGGATTACAGGCTTGAGCCACCGTGCCCGGCCCGGCTTCTTTTCTTTTTTTGGAGACAAAGTTTTGCTCTTGTCACCCAGGCTGGAGTGCAGTGGCATGTTCTCAGCTCACTGCAACCTCCACCTCCTGGGTTCAAGTGATTCTCCTGCGTCAGCCTCCCAAGTAGCTGGAATTACAGGCGCTTGCCACCATGCCCAGGTAATTTTTGTATTTTTTAGTAGAGACGGGGTTTCACCATGTTGGCCAGCCTGGTCTTGCACTCCTGAACTCAGGTAATCCACATGTCTCGGCCTCCCAAAGTGCTGAGATTACAATCATGAGCCACTGCGCCCAGCCCTTCTTTTCTTGTCTAACCCTAAATGCTGGTATTTCTGAGTCATGTTCTTAGCCCTCCTTTTTATTCATTTTTCCATTCATTTATTCAAATACTGAATGCTTACTACATGCCAGGCACATTTCTAGGTGATGAAGATATAGCAATAAGCAAAACCTACAAAAATGCCTGGCTTTCCCTTACGGAGCTTACCCTCTGTTGCTAAGCAATCTCACCTATGCTCAAGATGCTTATGACTTCTAAATTTACATCTCCAGAACTAACCACTTTGGAATTTCAGACACACAGAACCAACACTCTATGAGGCATCTTCATTTGTATGTCCTTAAATCCAATTCCTCTTTACACTGAAATTTGCCTCTTTCTAGATTCCCTCTTCTAATTATACCACCATACACTTCCAATTGCCCATTTCTCTTCAAGATTATGCAATAGTTTCCAGTCTTTTTTTTTTTCTTTTCTTTTTTTTTTTGAGACAGAGTCTCACTCTGTTGCCCAGGCTGGGGTGCAGTAGTGCCATCTCAGCTCACTGCTACCTCCAGCTCCCAGGTTTGAATGATTCTCCCGCTTCAGCCTCCCGAGTAGTTGGGATTACAGGTGCCCACCACCACGACTGGCTAATTTTTGTATTTTTAGTAGAGATGGGCTTTCACCATGTTGGCCAGGCTGGTCTTGAACCCCTGACCTTAGGTAATCTGCCCACCGTGGCCTTCCAATGTGCTGGGATTACAGGTGTGAACCACCACGCCTGGCCAGTTCCCACTCTTATCCTCTGATATGTGATTGAACTTCCTAAAATGCAAATCTGACCATATTACTTCCATCCTTAATATATTTTAATAATTCCTTATCATCTTTGAGATCCTTTATTCTTTGGTGTAACTCTCTTTTACCCCTTGTCTCCAACACACATCTATTATTTGTGTTCTTGCCTTAGTGAACTAATTTTATTTGAATTCTCTCTCTCTCTCTCCCTCTCTTTTAAGAGATGGGGTTTCAGAAACAAACAAACAAACAAACAAAAAGAGATGGGGTTTCACCATGCTGGCCAGGATGGTCTCGATCTCTGACCTCGTGATCCTCCTGCCTCTGCCTCCCAAAGTGCTGGGATTACAGGCATGAGCTACCGCACCTGGCCTTATTTGAATTCTCTTGTGTGATCATTCTTTGGTGCATGTTCTCTTTGTTCAAAATGCCCTTTCCCCTCTTGTCCTTTTGGTTAAGTTCCAGATTCAGCTCTGCTATATGCACAACCATAGCATAATGTACAGACTTCTGTTGTTGATCTTCATACTGTATCACAGTTGTATTTGTAATAGTTTCTTTGACTACCTCTTCCACTAGACTATAAGGCCTTGAAGGTAGTAAACATGTCTTTTAAAATTCCAGAATCACTTGCCAGGTGGCTCACGCCTGTAATCCCAGCACTTTGAGAGGCAGAAGCAGGCAGATCACCTGAGGTTGGAAGTTTGAGACCAGTCTGACCAACATGGAGAAACCCTGTCTCTACTAAAAAATAGAAAATTAGCCTGACGTGGTGACGCATGTCTGTAATCCCAGCTACTCAGGGGGCTGAGGCAGGAGAATCACTTGAACCTGGGAGGCAGAGGTTGTGGTGAGCCAAGATCGTGCCATTGCACTATAGCCTGGGTGACAAGGTGAAACGTCATCTCCAAAAAAAAAAAAAAAAAAAATTCAGAATCACAATCTGATGCATAATAAGAATGTAATTAATGTTTGCTGAACAAATAAATAAATGAACAAATGAAAATGAGGAATAAATAGGGAGAGATCACTGAAGAGTAGAAAAGAAGAGAATCAAGAGCAAACAGAAAGATAGTTTTGAAAAGAATGTCCTCTTTTCCTCTGGGATAGGGGAAAGAAGGGAAGTGACAGCAGAAGGAGGGTGTAATCAGAAGTAGATCAGTTCAGACCGGGTGTGGTGGCTCATACCTGTAATCCCAGCTCTTTGGGAGGCTGAGGCGGGAGGATCACTTGAGGTCAGAAGTTCGAGACCAGCCTGGCCAACATGATGAAAACCCTGTCTCTACTAAAAGTGCAAAAATTAGCCTGGCATGGGCACATGCCTGTAATCCCTACTACTCGGGAGGCTGAGGCAGGAGAATTGCTTGGACTTGAGAGGTTGAGGTGGCAGTGAGCCGAGACTGTGCTACTGTCCTCCAGCCTGGTGACAGAGAGAGACTTTGACTCAAAACAAACAAAACAAAACAAAAAACAGTAGATGAGCTTGAAGTGAAAGGGAGAAGGTTGAAGGAGTTCATGCTGGGTGGTTTCTATTTTCTCTTTAATGTAATAGTTAAGGCATTCCTCTTTTTTGGAAGACACTGCATGTCAGTGAAGTTACATAACAGCTTCTTCTCAACTTTCCCACCAGTAAAATTCTTGATTCTACTCTCTAACCCATATCTCTTGTAAATTTGTGAGAACAAAGGAGGTCATATAGGATAGAGCTTTGAGCGCTTTAGATACGTAGCAATGGACCTACTGATCATCACTTCAATCTGACTTTAAATCCATGCAGTTGAAAGCGTTGAAATTCCAAAGCCTCTCCCATTTTATCATTCCTTTTATTTCTGTGTATTGTCAATGCTGCAGTTCTCAGAATTGAAAACATTTTGTTTGCCTCCAAATTACTTTGAAAAAATTAACTTGGCCTAGTATTACTCTTTTTTTTTTTTTTTTTTTTTTTTTTTGGGACGGAGTTTCGCTCTTGTTACCCAGGCTGGAGTGCAATGGCGCGATCTCGGCTCACCGCAACCTCCTCCTCCTGGGTTCAGGCAATTCTCCTGCCTCAGCCTCCTGAGCAGCTGGGATTACAGGCACGCGCCACCATGCCCAGCTAATTTTTTGCATTTTTAGTAGAGACGGGGTTTCACCGTGCTGACCAGGATGGTCTCGATCTCTTGACCTCGTGATCCACCCGCCTCGGCCTCCCAAAGTGCTGGGATTACAGGCTTGAGCCACCGCGCCCGGCCTAGTATTACTCTTTTTCTTTTTTGAGACAGAGTCTCACTCTCTTGCCCAGGCTGGAGTGCAGTGGCGCAATCTTTGCTCACTGCAGCCTCCACCTCCTGGGTTCAAGTGATTCTCCTGCCTTACCTGAGATGGCAGATGTGTACCACCACACCTGGCTAATTTTTGTATATTTTTTTTTTTTTTTTTTTTTTTGGAGACGGTGTTTTCTTGTTATCCACGCTGGAGTGCAATGGCGCGATCTCGGCTCACCGCAACCTCCGCCTCCTGGGTTCAGGCAATTCTCCTGCCTCAGCCTCCTGAGTAGCTGGGACCACAGGCACGCGCCACCATGCCCAGCCAATTTCTTGTAGTTTTAGTAGAGACGGGGTTTCACCATGCTGACCAGGATGGTCTTGATCTCCCGACCTCGTGATCCACCCGCCTCGGCCTCCCAAAGTGCTGGGATTACAGGCTTGAGCCACCGCGCCCGGCCTAATTTTTGTATTTTTAGTAAAGATTGTATTTTTGTGTTTTCACTATGTTGGCTGGTCCCGAACTCCTGATCTCAAGTGATCTGCCTGCCTCGGCATCCCAAAGTGCTGGGATTACAGGTGTAAGCCACCGTGCCCAACCCAGCCTTTCTTTTCTTTCTTTTTTTGACATGGGTCTCACTCTGTCACCAGGCTGGAGTGCAGTGGCACAATGAGCGCTTGCTGCAGCCTTGAACTCCTGCGCTCGAGCAATCATTCTGCCTCAGGCTTCCGAGTAGCTAAGACTACAGGTGCGTACCACCACTCCCGGCTAATTTTTTAATTTAGTTTTTATTTATTATTTGTTGAGATGAGGTTTTGCTCTGTTCCTCAAGCTGGAGGACAGTGGTGCGATCATGGCTCACTGCAGCATGTACCTCCCAGGCCCAAGCAATCCTCTAGCTTCAGTCTCTCATGGAGCTGGGACTGCAGGTGCGTGCCCCCATGCCTGGCTAATTTTTGTATGTTTTTTTTTTAATAGATAGATTTTTGCCATATTGCCCAGGCTGGTCTCAAATTCCTGAGCTTAAAGAATCTACCTGCCTCAGCCTCCCAAAATGTTGGGATTACAGGCACGAGGCATGCCTGACTTTATTTTTAATCTTCTCTACAGACAAGGTCTTGCTACGTTGACCAGGCTGGTCTTGAACTCCTGGCCTCGAGCGATCCTCCCACCTCAGCCACCCAAAGTGTTGGGATTACAGGTGTAAACTGCTGTACCTCACAAGTTTTTTTTTTTTTTTTTTTAATGAGGGAAAATGGATAAAACTGAGTAATATTATCTCTCCACTGAGATGTGTAGCTTTTTTTGAGTCATGCTTAAAGTCTAACTATATACTCTAAAATTGGTTTAGGATTCCTTTCAGCTACCAATGCCAACTTATCTTAGAGTTCAGTTGATCTAATTTAGAACAAATTTGTATCCATAGATGGGATGGAAAATCTAGGTGAGGATTAAGGTCATGGCCAAGGTACAAGGGGAGGAGGAAGTCTGAGTTAATTATAACCTAGGTTATGAAGTCTTAATTCCAGGAAGCTGTGCCTTAGCTAGGTAGACAACTTGTTGATTGAGGAATATTCTCAGAGGAACTAGAAGCTATCAGTTCCTGAATTCTGAGATGAATTTCTACATCATCTGAGATGAAGGTGAAGGTATCAGTATCCAAAGACTAGAAATTCTAAGAGAAATATGTCACTTGGGAAAAGCCCTTTAGTAAGCATTTGCTTATTTTCTTTCCAGCAATCATGGCTGGCCTGGAAGATTTCCCAAAGGTTATCTTTTTCTTTTTCTTTCTTTCTTTCTTTTTTTTTTGTTTTTTTGAGACGGAGTTTCACTCTTGTTACCCAGGCTGGAGTGCAATGACGCAATCTCGTCTCACCGAAACCTCCGCCTCCTGGGTTCAGGCAATTCTCCTGCCTCAGCCTCCTGAGTAGCTGGGATTACAGGCACGCGCCACCATGCCCAGCTAATGTTTTGTAGTTTTAGTAGAGACGGGGTTTCACCATGTTGACCAGGATGGTCTCGATCTCTTGACCTCGTGATCCACCCGCCTTGGCCTCCCAAAGTGCTGGGATTATAGGCTTGAGCCACCACTCCCGGGAGAGGTTACCTTTTTCAAGACCAGTTGGGTAAGGCTGTTTTGATATGTTTTTGAATATATATTATAATGCATTCATTGTGTTTATTTCTTTATTCCTAGTTAAAAAACTGTATATCTTTTGGTAATAACTAAAGTAAAAACAGACAAAGCAGAGAGAGCATGGCCATCATTGTACAAGGCTTCATACTCTCTGATGCAAAAAGGTAAGCCTGAATTAAAAGCTACATTTCTTAATGTCTCTCCTATGAAAAGCTATATAAGTTCCTGCTGTCAAGTTTAAAAACTGAGAACTTGGCCGGGCGTGGTGGCTCATGCCTGTAATCCCAGCACTTTGGGAGACTGAGGCAGACTGATCACCTGAGGTCAAGAGTTCGAGACCAGCCTGGCCAATATGGTGAGACCCTGTCTCTACTAAAAATACAAAAAATGGATGGGCGTAGTGGCAGTCGCCTGCAGTCCCAACTACTTGGGGAGACTGAGGCAGGAGAACTGCTTGAACCCAATAGGTGGAGGTTGCAGTGAGTTGAGGCTGTGCCACTGCACTCCAGCCTGGGCAACAGAGCGAGACTCCATGTGAAAAAATAAAAAAGTGAGAACTTATTTAGAAACATTCTGAGTAGAGACTAGGAGGTTAAATGATCACTTTTTTAAATGTTTAGGGTTAGGTATTAACACCCTCAGCTGTTTGCCTTAGTCTCTTCTTTACCAAGAGCCCTCTGTATCAACATATAGCCAATAGTCTTGCTTAAAGCCTAGGAAAAGACCGCATTCAAGGCTTGATGCAAATTATACGTTATGAATCTTTACTTACTCGTGCTAAAGCTGGAATGGAGTGTCTTACCTGTAGGTTAGAGTTCAGATGTAAGTTTCTGAATAAAAACATAAAAAGTGAACCATCTCCCTTACCCATTCCTGCTCCTCATAGTATAATACACAAATATCGCCCAGTAGAGAGAATGTGGTTGGAGTTAAGAAACCAAGGAATCAAGTCCTGCATTCCAGTCCTCTATCCCTGACTCACTCACCTCAGGCAAATGGTTCCACTTCATTTCATTTTGCTCTGAGAAGTGAGGAGAGTAACATTTTGTTTAAAATTTTCTTAGGTGAGTGGCTTCTGCTAACCTGCAAGGCCTTTGCTGTAGTTGAGATGAACAAATAAGGAAAATATGCAACTACAGATTGTTTATAGAGGCGGAAAAAACACAACAGATTTTGATGCTGATTTGTGTCCTCAGGACTTTCCACAAATAACTTTGAGAGAGGTACTACTTAGTCCTTAGAGGAAGCTTCCTTCTGGGATGGGTAGCTATGAGGCGTGGGGCGAGGTCAGATGGTGATGGGAAAGCAAAGGAACACGATGGTCCCAAATCAAGGACCATTTGGCTTCAGTGTTTACCCTCACTGCAGTGGGGGTGAAATTTGGAGCCTAGGATGAGGTAGAAATTAGTTTCCCTGTTGCAGTAGTAACTTGGGTATCAGATAATAAAGCAAATTTCTGCCAGCTTATTCTAAAGGCAAATGAAACTATACAGGGGTTTAAGGTAAAGCTGTGATGAGCAAAAAATATCACCCCTGCCTTTTTTTTTTTTTTTGGGTGGGGACGGAGTTTCGCTCTTGTTACCCAGGCTGGAGTGCAATGGCGCGATCTCGGCTCACCGCAACCTCCACCTCCTGGGTTCAGGCAATTCTCCTGCCTCAGCCTCCTGAGTAGCTGGGATTACAGGCACGCGCCACCATGCCCAGCTAATTTTTTGTATTTTTAGTAGAGACGGGGTTTCACCGTGTTGACCAGGATAGTCTCAATCTCTTGACCTCATGATCCACCTGCCTCGGCCTCCCAAAGTGCTGGGATTACAGGCTTGAGCCACCGCGCCCGGCCACCCCTGCCTTTTTTAAAGTTTCATTTTAAGTTCCAGGGTACGTGTGCAGATGTGCAGGTTTGTTACATAGGTAAACATGTGCCATGGTGGTTTGCTGCACCTATCAATCCATTACCTAGGTATTAACCCCACCATGCATTAGTTATATTTCCTTATGCTCTTCCTCCCTCTGCCCTCCCCCTGACAGGTCCCAGTGGGTGTTATTCCCCTCCCTGTGTCCTTGTGTCCTCATTGTTCAGTCTCACTTATAAGTGAGAACACGTGGTGTTTGATTTTCTGTTCCTGTGTTAGTTTGCTTATGATAATGGCTTCCAGCTCCATCCACGTCCCTGCAAAGGACAGGATCTCGTTCCTTTTTATGGCTGCATAGTATTCCATGGTGTATATGTACCACATTTTCTTTTTCCAGTCTATCACTGATGGGCATTTGGGTTGATTCCATGTTTTTGCTATTGCAACTAGTACTGTGATGAACATATGTATGTATGATTCTTTATAATAGAATGATTTATATTCCTTTGGGTATATACCCAATAATAGGATTGCTGATTCCAGTGGTATTTCTGGTTCTATGTCTTTGAGGAATCGCCACACTGTCTTCCACATCACCCCTGACTTAATGTTTACTTGGTCATTATTACTTTCATTTTTTTTTCACTAATTTGGGGCTTACATGACTTTCTTTCCATTATTCTACCTGAAGGTCACTAAAATTGGTAATCACCATCACCTTATAATTCACTGTCTTAGAACTACACTTATTCAGTTGTTCTATTAAGTTTCCCACTCTCTTGAGACCCAGAGTCAGATGACATTAGGTAAAAATGCAGGCTGTGCTTAGGGGAAAAAATAGCTATTTTAACAAGCAGGCTATAATTCAAAACCATACAACAGTATTTAATTGCTTTTGGATTTGACAACACTGGAATTCATTAAAACTTGGAGCCTCTGAAGATAACCTTCCTAATTTCATGCAAGAAGTCCAAGGTATAATTCTTATGAAAATCCATTCATAAGTTGCATATGTAAAATCCTTTGAGGAAAATGGTCGTGCCATAAAGCTTTATATGATATGCTTCTTTCAGCTCTAACAAGGATACAAATCAGGAAATGCAGGCTTGGCAAAGAAAGAGTTAAGATGATCAATTTTTAAGGAACTTCAGGGATTTTCAGATTTCAGGCTTGGTCTTTTATAAATGATCTTCGGCTGCCCATCTCCTGGTTCTTCCCTGCTAGACCTTATGCATAGGTAGCTCTGCATTAGCTGTGCACAGCAGAGAAGGCTAATCAGAGACCCAAATCTTTGTTTCAGAGTTGGAGGCTGACATGCAAGAGTGACTCAGCTGGCATCAGCTCTGTAGCAGTCTCAGCCTGAGGTCTTCAGGAAGTGAGTCCTCTGGGCCTGCATCTCCCTCTGTGGCAAACTGCCACTAAATTCTGCTGTTTATCAACCCAGTACCAAACACAGAAGGGAAAGTCTGCTGTTTCGCTGTTTTCAACACAACCAAAAGCACAGAAGCCAGATTATGTGATGGGATAGTATTAGAAAGGTGTATTAGATACAGTATCTCCCTTAAGAAGCTTACAGTTTAGTAAGGAAGTAAATGTAAATATAGCATTAGAGTACAATGATGTGTGCTACCAGAAGCATCAACAAGAGGGTAAAGGGAAGCAGTTCAGGAAAATCAGAGAAATCTTCTCCCAAAAGGTGACTAAGTGGTTTTGAAAGTGGATTTACTAGGTAGAAACTGCCAGGAATGAAGGCAGAGGGGAAAGCATTTATATAGATTCGTTAATGGATACATTCACTTTATTCATCACATTTGCAGAGTGACTTCTGTGTGCCTGAAGCATGTGATATGAACCATCTAGTACAGGCAAGGTGGTGTATATATATATAGGTGCAGACAATGGTAAGATGAGATGATGATGTTGTGGGAGTAACTGGAAGTTCTCCAATTGCTTACATTCTCTTAGTCAAGTAGGAAGTAAGGTCATGTGTTGAAGGACATAATATGGTCCGAAGCAACATAATATGATTGGTTAGTAGTATTAAGTGCTCTATTAAGGTTCTGACCATGGATATAAAGTGAGACTAGTTACTTTTTTTTTTTTTTTTTTGAGACAGAGTCTCGCTCTGTTGCCAAGGCAGGAAGGAGTGCAGTCAGTTGTGCGATCTCAGCTCATTGCAACTTCTGCCTCCTGGGTTCAAGTGATTCTTGTGCCTCAGCCTCCCAAGGTGCCACAAAACCTCTTGTGCCACACACCTCCCAAGGTGTGTGCCACCACGCTCAGCCAATTTTTGTATTTTTAGTAGAGAGGGAGTTTTGGCATGTCAGCCAGGCTGGTCTCGAACTCCTGGCCTCAAGGGATCCACCCAAAGTACTGGGATTACAGGCGTGAACCACTGCACCTGGGCAGACTAGTTACTTTGTTTTTTCCAACTTCATTTGGCTACATAGGTACAGAGCAGGTAAACAGCTGAATTAAGCCAAGGAGGTGGTTTAGGTGAGTACAATGAAGTGAGTGAGAGGCAATGAAGCTGAAGGTGTATTCAAGAGAATGCTTATGATTGATCACGGAACATAAGTTGTGTCAGGAGGGAAAAGCTGACATCAAGGCAGTGAGGGAGATGGTGGGATCAATTTATCAATGGTCATGATAACTCTGAATTTGTGTAATTGAGATATTTGACAGAATGAGCTAGGAAGATAATAGGTGATCAGAGAGAGGGATGCATGAAATTGAAACTAAGGTGGTTGATGTTTTTGGTAAAAAGATGGGAATCAGTATCCAAGGAAGGTGAAAGGTATAACTGTTAAGTTTTTAGGGAATCGAAAAGCCAGGTTTAAGGATCATTTATGTTAATAGTTCTCAAACTTTAGCATACATTAGACTTACATATGGAAAGCCAATTAAAATACAGATTGTGCTGGGTGCAATGACATATGCCTGTAGTCCCAGCTACTTGGGAGGCTGAGGCAAGACTGCTTCAGCTCAGGAGTTTGAGACCAGTCCAGGTAACAGTGAGACCATCTCTTACAAAATGCAAAACACCACAACAAAAAACACAGATTGCAAGACCCCACCCCTAGTTTCTGGGGTAGAGCCTGGTAATTTTCATTTCTAAATTCCCTGATGATGCTGATGCCGCTGTGGTCCAGGGACCATACTTTGGAAACTATTGACCCATGTGTATGTTGAAACTGCAGTTGCCAAGAATTAAGATATAAGTAGTGTTATAAAGTGACAGTGAGCCAGGACACAAAATTGGCAAGAAATAAAGGGAGGCCATGTGAAGTGCCTCACGCTTGTAATTCCAGCACTTTGGGAGGCCAAAGTTGGGGGGATTGCTTCAGCCTAGGAGTTTGAGACCAGCCTCGGCAAAGTGGCTGTCTCTACAAAAGCCTGTCTCTACAAAAAAATAGCCGCGTATGGTGACATGTGCCTATAGTTCCAGCTACTTGGGAGGCTGAGATGGGAGGATCTTGACTGAGCCCAGGAGCTTGAGACTGCAGTAAACCGTGATCACACCACTGTACTCCAGCCCAGGCGACAGAGCGAGACCCTGTGCCAAAAGACAAAAAGAAATAAAGGGGAATGAACCAATTAGTGGAAAACTGCAACGATCAGGGACAGTCGATATATGCTCTAATAACATGAGATCGAAAGCTGGGTGTTATGGGGATTGGTTTGAAATTGTGGCTGAAACAGTGGTTGGTAGCTAAGAGATTAAGGCGAGGCTGAAGGGACATTGCCAAGGGCTTTGCATGTTAGCATTTTATTGTATCAGGGGCTTTTGTTTGGTAAACAGGTCTAGTCTAAGTTCCCTGCTAAGATATTACCTGTGGTGAAACTGCTGCTGAATTCATTATAAGGATGATCACAATCTTACGTCCTGGTAGAAATAAAAACCACACTAATTAGGAAATAGTAAGTCCTACTGAAGTACTTATCACCTTACATAAGATTAAGGAGGCTAATATCTAATGAGAGAATAAATCTTAAATAACTTAATAGTAGGGCAAAACAGGACCAAGAATATGTAATAAAGGATGGAACTGTGGAAATGCAAAGCAGGGTCCACAGGGTGGTCACAGGTAGAGCCAGGGCACAGACTACAACACGGGTCATTTATGCTTCCACCACTTATTGCTCCTGGGATCCTAGCCAAATTATTTTATGTTTTCTGCTCAGTTCCTCTCTTGTTAAATGGTGTATCATTTATGGCACGTGCTTCAGAGGAAAGTTGAGGGCTAAATGAGATAGTTGGTGCAAGTGCTTTGAAAAGGTAAAGTGATGGCTGGGCGTGGTGTTTCACACCTGTAATCCCAGCACTTTGGGAGGCCAAGGCAGGCGGATCACCTGAGGTCAGGAGTTCGAGACCAGCTTGACCAACATGGAGAAACCCCGTCTCTAAACAAAACAAAAAAAAAAAAAAAAAAAGGGAAAAGATAAAGTGCTATAAAAATATGAAATATTTAAAATGTGAAAAATTTAAAAAGAAACAAAGTATTCAGCTATCTTTAGAGATCAGGGTAGAATACTTAGGTATATAAGAGAAGAATGGAAAAGAAAGGAGAAACCGTTAATCTAAGAACAATGCTGAGATGTATAAAACAAAGGATGAAATGTGCAATGTGGACAGTTCACATTAGGTTTCTTTTTTTTTGAGACAGAGTTTCACTCTTGTTGCCCAGGCTGGAGTCCATGGCATGATTTTGGCTCACTGCAACCTCCGCCTGTCAAGTTCAAGAGATTCTCCTGCCTCAGCTTCCTCCCAAATAGCTGAGATTACAGACATGTATCATCACATCAAGCTAATTTTGTATTTTTAGTAGACATGGGGTTTCTCCATGTTTGTCAGGCTGGTCTTGAACTGCCAACCTCAGGTGATCCACCCACCTCGGCCTCCCAAAGTGCTGGGATTACAGGTGTGAGCTACCGCACCCAGCCAAGATGGAGTTTCACAATGGTGGTCAGGTTGGTCTAGAACTCCTGACCTCAGGTATCTGCCTGCCTTGGCCTCCCAAAGTACTGGGATTACAGGCGCAAGTCACCGCACGTGGCCTCACATTAGTTTTGAAATGATGAAAGCCTCAAGAAAAAGCCTTGTTTACGTACATTTATTTATTTATTTATTCTTTCTCCCTAGACTGCTCAGCAGGGAAGAATTTATTTATTTATTTTGAGATGGTGTCTCGCTCTGTCACTGAGGCTGGAGTCCAGTGGCGCAATCTCGGCTCACTACAACCTCTGCCGCTCGGGTTCAAGTGATTCTCCTGCCTCAGTCTCCTGAGTAGCTGGGATTACAGGCACCCGCCACTGTGCCCAGCTAATTTTTGTAGTTTTTAGTAGAGACGAGGTTTCACCATGTTGGCCAGGTTGGTCTTGAACACCTGATCTCGTGATCCAACTGCCTCAGCCTCCCAAAATGCTGGGAGTGCTCACACCTGTAGGTGTCAGCCACTGCGCCTGGCCAAAGAATTTATTTTTATAGATAGCAGTTTCCTTAGGAATCAACCTTTGGGCCACAGTAACAAATATTTGTGTATGACTTGGACTTAACCATTATATTCTCTCTCCTCATAATGTCCACTACTAAATGAGTACTTCTACTTTAACATACTGAGAAAACTGCAGGACCACATGCACTCTTACAGGAATCCTATGCAAGTCTGCAGGTTTCTATACTGGCTTTTGTTACACGGAATTGAAATTAGCTGCTGCTATTTCAGGGCAGGATTGTGCCTTGTCTTTCAACGGCTTTCCATTCATTCATTGTCCTTAAAGAAGTCCAGTCTTTAATATGGCATAAAATATAATCTGGTCCCCGCCATCTCTGGCTTTACCTCTCGGTGCTGTCCTCTGCCTGGCAATTTGGCCACACTTAAGCACTCTAGAATCATCAGTGTACTACACTTTTTCTGACAGTAGCTTTTGCACAGGTTATTTCACCTGCCCGGCATACTTTGTTCCATTCTTCTTGGCTAACTTACTTTCCTGGTTTCAACAGATATTATTTTCTCTGCCAACTTCCCTTGAACCTCCCTCTTGTCTGAGTTAGCCTTTCTTTTTTCTTTTTTTTTTTAAAGATGGGGCTTCACCAGGTTGGTCAGGCTGGTCTTGAACTCCTGACCTCAGGTGATCCGCCCGCCTTGGCCTCCAAAGTGCTTGGATTACAGACGTGAGCCACCACGCCCGGCCTGGGTTAGCCTTTCAAGCATACCTTCCTCTTCCCTCATTATAGTACTTCTCACATCTTATTATAGTAATTGCATTCTTAATTACCTGTCTTACCAGCTCAAACTCTGTGAAACAGGTAACAGTCTTGTTCATGAACGTTTCTGCCATTTTAATCGTGCCTGGAACTCAGGAGGTACACAATAAACACTGAGTTTGCTAATGACAAACACTTGGCAGCACACAAATTCAGCAAAAGTTTCAACAGTTCTGTTAGAAGGTATTTGGGGTTGAGGGGGAAAACAAACAAACAAAAAAACAACACAAAAAACAAGCCTGGTGAAATTAAGCGGCCACTTCAGGGAGCTCACTGCTATTTTAACGTAAGAAAATTCTGTACATGCACTATTAGCCACAGGGGAGATCAGAGGTGTTCTGTATGGCAAAGGAGAAGGAAGTTGCAGTGAAGTGAGTATTAAATGTTTATTTTGAGGACCTTCTGCTGTGACCATATAGCTAAAAAAAAAATCACATTACATATCATTAATCAACTAGATGTCTGTAGGTTTTAACTAGTACTAGCTGATCTCCTACCTTGTTTTTTTCCGGTTAATTTGAGTAATGATGCACTGCATGAAAAAGAAACTCAGATTGCCATTCTCACAGCAGTCTTTTTGATTACTTTTTGAAAAGAGGTAGTCTCAGTTTTGACCACCTGTTTATTGCAGAAGGAGTAACAAGCATCACTTCACATTTCAGCAGTGTGGTAGTCTCCATGGGGACTTTCTTGTCCATCGCTTAGATAAGCTGTGCCCTTTATTAGGCTAAAGCAGCAGTATTCTAAATGCAGTGGGTAAATTTGAGATTGACTGGATAAAGGTTCAATACTATTAAAGGATTAATACTATATTGTGAGCTATAATGCTTTTACAATAAATATGCAACCACCTTTTGGTTATCATCAGCTGGTATTGCATGTTTTGCTGTGGCTGCAGGAGTAACAGTGGATTTAGAAAAGTACCAATGAGTCAATTAAGGATTGTAAAATCCCTGGGAAAAGCCAAGGAATGATCGGTCTTTCCTATATTCCCAATAAAATCGCTCCAGAAGACAGACTAATACCAATCACTTCATTTACTTCAGGACATAATATACATTTTGACCCAGGGAAGGTGCTAAATAATAACCTTGTTTAATTTATCTATAGGAGAGTTTTTTTGCAAAGGTAGTAAAACCAGACAAGTGAATAACACACATCAAAGTCAGATTTAAAATGTAGGTCATGGCTCTGTCCTACTGTTAAAGATGCTACAAAGATATATACTTAGAATAGCACCCTGTTCTCTCTTGGGGAGGCTGTATTCAAGATGACAAGAATTACTCTAACATTGTTATAGACATAGATGTTGTCAATAGGGTCTTTCTGTGATTTTAGTAAAAAGAAACAGTGGAAACGTTATTCTAAACTACTGACATGATTCACCTTATCACTTTGGCATATGGTATTACTATTTCTCCTATTATAGCAAGTTCTAGTTTTCCCAAGACCTTACTCTCACTCTTTTGGAATAAAGTTTAAACATATATATTTGAAACCTTCAAATTAAAATGTTATCCTCATATATTCATGTACTAGATTAATATCGCCACATGTATCCTTTCCAATTTCAGGCAAAATAGACGTGCATTTAGAGTTGTTTAAAGCCAACCCAGCTTAGTATCAAGAGAAATCATGACCTTTCATAGAATATTTGATGGAAAAAACACTGATTTTTAACACATCTTATTTTATTCAGATAGCAGTCTGATCACACGTGGTCCAACAACACTCAAATAATAAATCAAATATAACCAGATGTTAAAGATTGGTCTTCAAACATCATAGCCAATGATGCCACGCTTGCCTATGATCTCTCCGACATAAAACCACATCAACACCTCAGTGGCCACCAAACCATTCAGCACAGCTTCCTGAAAAAAGAAGCATACATTTTAAGGTATCTTTTTTTTTTCTTATATATTTAAAACTATTCTTTTCCAGAATTAAGAGACAAAGAACATAGAGATGCTTTTCAAACTAGAAGGCAGTTTTACTCAAAGTTGAGAATTATGAACATTACTTTTGTTCAATTGCTGAGAACCCTTGAACTTTCAATTTTGTAAGGTAGTCAGAGCTTATAAATTCTTTCAAAGCATTCTTTAAAGACCTGAACTGACTTAACCCTTTCATTATAAGTTTATGAGACACTTTATGAGCCCTAAAACAACCCACATCCTGGATAGCTGGCACATTTAGATAGGGTATTCATATGAAAGGATGGCTCTAGGAAGGCTGAATCTCTGAACATTTTTGTCTGGCAAAAGAAAATCTGCTGAAAGATGAAGTGCTGTCTCCCCCTTTCGATCTCATTTTTATTCATTTAGTATCTGACTTGACTCTTACCAAGTATCTGGTATTCCTATCAACATTTTAGTGCCCCAAAGAGAAATATACACATATGGCTCAAGAAAGCAGTTATTAATACATGCAAAAATATGGATCTTGAAATTCTAGTTGAAAAAATAACTTTGCATAACAAAACTGGACCTTTTCCTTTTAGCACTTCTGGAAGTGAATTTTCCCCATCAAATTAGGCCAGAAGCTTATGGAAGTCTTCTGAAAAGCAACCATATTTCCCAGGACGTAGGCTCTAAAATCCACAATTATTTAGGCTTTTTATACTCTGTGCTTGGATCATGCAAATAAAATCCAAGTTCCAATTCTTTTTTTTTTCTTTTAAGAGATAGGGTCTTACTCTGTCACTCAGGGAGTAGCACAATCATAGCTCACTGCCTCCTCTAACTCCTGGTCTCAAGCAATCCTCTCACCTCAGCCTGACTACAGGTGCATGCCACTGCACCGGGCAAATTTTTTTCACTTTTTTTTTTTTTTTTTTTTTTTTTTTTTTT